GTAATAGTGTAGTAGCAGGGGTTTTAAATCAAATTATTGTACTTGAGTAAAAATTTTGGTTTCTCTTCCCACTTTCATTAGGTCTTCAAGTGCCAAAAGTTTACATTCTCAGTATTAAATGATTTGAAGATTTTTGTTTCTCCTTCAGGTATTATTGTGTTGTACTAATTTTTTTTGAAAATACCAGATTTGTACATTATTTTGTCATTCCAATTACATTAAGAAAGTAGTTTCCCCACTACTTTGTACTTCTACTTAATAATTATTATTTTAAAGTAACAGTACTCTAATTTCAGTATAACTGTTGGACACTGTACCAAACCCTGAATAATATTGTAAGACTGAAGCCACATCTTAGTATCACTATCACACTACATTATAGCTTACCTCAGTTTAAATTGGGTTAAATGGTGTTCTGGTCTACTCATGGTTTTGTTACTTTCAGTAATGCTTCCATTTTAAATTTGAACTTTTAAAGACAGAAATAATCTTGTGTATGGAAAAAATAAGAACCCCAACACAGTTCAAACTGGAAGTTGTTAGGATATGATAAGTTAACTATTAAGGTGAACCTGCAACACACTCTGCTTTGGGATTTCCCAGTTTTTGTGACTTTCGACCTTTTGGCTTTTCCTTCCCTCTGAACCTGGAAGTTTGAGAAAGCATTAAAGACAAGGAGCTGCTCATCTGTGGAGGGTTAAAGCGTTACAGGACAAACGCAGAGGGGAAGCTGCGATGTTTTCATGATTCATGTACTAGCAGACAGGTATGCCATTGAGAAAGTTCAACAGTGGGGGATGACACAAGCATGCAAGAAATGATCCAGTTAAATGATGAATCTATATAAAAAATACTCCCATATGTTGTTCCGTTCAAATCCACTTTAGACTTTCACTACTTTTAATGTCTGGTCTCTTTTAATGTGGCAACTACAGCCCACAAAAACACAGAGACAATGCAAAACAATGGATATTTTTTGACTATTTAATTGAATAGAAAATATTTTCAGATGCTATATGGATGGTGGTATTACTGTGGTTGAGTCATTTTGCACGCACTGCTGTTCTAATAGTCAGTCAACATCACAATCCAACAAATATTCAACTTTAGAGCGGTTACACGGTGTGGTGAACTGGCAGGTACACATTACTACCATGACCAAGAGGGGAATAAATTATGAAGCCTGTGGGGCAGAACCAAAGACATCCAGTGATGAGGAAAACATATTGAAAGTTTCCACTCAAAGACACAAGCCAGAGAAGAAAATCACTATAGGATATTTCAGTGTTATGGTGAAGAGAATTGAAAATATTAAACAATTATAAGACAATAATCAGTTTGCTGTATTTTATATTTAAGTTAGCAAGTTTAATATATTTGAATTTGAACAAATGATTGACTCTTGCATTATTTAATTTGCCACAGGTTCTGATTCTGGTTGGTTAATGGCCTCCAAATGGACACTTTAGTAGTATGATCTACTAATATCCATATTATCACTTAATAGGTTAGTTTCGGATTGTTACTGAATGTTGGGCGTCATCTGGTTTATACAATGAGACAAAATAATGGCTTGAATCTGGAAAACATAACACATCACTATCCAAAGTCTAACGATATGTCTCAGAGCTACAGAAGTCAATCACTATTTTACAACCAACATAGCATTAACCATAATTATTTTCAAAAGCAACTGTATATTTAAAATGTCTGAGTTATGAGATAGTGGAGACTGCGGAGGGAAAAAGAAATAATGTAAAAAATACAAATTGTTGGACATTACAAAAAATACGATAATAGTATTTAAATAATGCTGTGAGTGGTCAGCTGGGCAAACAAGCCATAGGAGTGATTGACATGAGGAGATATGAACGAGATAGTCATAAAAAGGTCTGTAAACACACAGAGTACACCTCCACATATTAATAAATATATGTGTATACAATAGAGTAGGGGTCCCAGGAGAGGTGTCTCTGGAGAAATGGGCTGACATATGGCCAGCAGACAACTACACTGGGTGTGTGTGGGTGGGGCCGCTGGGTGCTCGTGTGCGAGGCCAGATGAATAGGGCAGTGGTTGGAAACAGTTGAAACACAATATTCATTCAGTGTTGCCTTGCTGCTGTTTGTGAGTGGGATGGGCCGGGGGGGATGAGTATTACCCCATATTATGAGGATGTTACTTTATTTGCCCTGCAGCTCGTGGGAACCGTTTGAGGATAAAAGAAACTGGGCTACAATTCAGACCATGTGCTGCAAAATATAAATAATACATGTTTTTTATTACAGTAACTGGGTCATGCTTGAGAACAGCCTATTTTTGTTTTAGCCGAAGTGGTTCTTATATATCTGGAATATTTTGATTATGTATAGCATATTATTATATACTATTTTACAAGCCAGGAATTATGGCTATCTATAGTCAAAATGAGTGGAAACTGCAACTTTGTCATAACAATTCTACCTACTTCTTATAGTTTTCTCCATATTTTAAAATAAAGTTTAATTAAAGTTTAAAATCAGTGATGCATGCAGCTCGTCCTGTATGTTGCCCACGTTGGATCAACATGTGGGAATTCCTCCAGTGTGCCAGTAATTCCTAAACATAAACATACAAATACACTGCGCAGCACAGAGCCAGGGGTTGCTTGACGGCTATTTGACTGAATGGGCCCGTTGCCATGGTTACGGCAGCACTTCATCAGCCCATTGAGCGAACAGATGGCCGATGTGCAACAGGAGGCATACGTTTGAATGAACACACAAGGCCCGGTGCACAAACACACACCCGTGGATGCTCTCGCGCTCCGAGGGAGGGTATAGAACAACCAGCAGCATATGTTCCACTAGTCAGAGCGCATTCATTCAAGGATAGAGAAGAGTGGAGGAGAGAGGGGGGAGAGGAGGAGGAGAAGAAGGAGAGAGAGAGAGAGAGCGAGAGAGAGGAAGAAGGGGGGTGGAGGAGAGAGAGAGAGGGGAGAGGGGGAAGAGAAGGAGAGTGAGGAAGAGGAGGGGTGGAGAAGAGAGAGAGGGGGGAAGGAGAAAAAGAGGGGGGAGAGGAGGAGGAGGAGAAGAAGAGAGAGAGAAAGAGGGGGAGTGGAGGAGAGAAGGGTAAGTGGAGGACAGGGGAGAGAGGAGAAGAACAGAGTGATGAAAGGGGAGGCGAGAGAGAGCAGAGAGGGGAGTGGATGAGAAGAAAATATAACAAGGACGGGGGAGGAGAAGCGAGAGAGAGAAAGGGGGAGGAAGAAAGGAGAGGAGAGAGAAAGGAAAAAGGGGGAAGTGTAGGAAAGAGGGAGGAGGAGAGAGATTATATGGGGGGTGGAGGTCAGTGGGTGTTAGGCAAAAGAGCAAAGGGTGAACTGAGGTGCAGAAATATGACAAAATGAAGAGAAGCCATAACGATGCTGGGGTCAACTTTGAGAGGGTCATGTTTTAGATTTAACACCAACTGTGACACCTTTGATATGCAACTTTTTAAACTACTGCACAACTTCTTTATCACATAGTCTAAATCCAAAACAAACACAACCCCACTCCACCAACTTTATATTAGGTTATAATAATAGTTTTAGTCTTTTTCAGTACAACTCATCTTCTTTCATTAGGACTCAGTTACACCAGCAGTTCCATGCAAAAGGAAAGGTCACTGCGTACTTGCGGTGAACACTTGTGGATACTGGTGATTGCCAGAACTTGGTAAATCAGGTCACAACTGTGGTCCAAACCCAAACTCGTGAGTCGTAAGTACACACGCAGTCTGGAAGCTGTTCATTTCTGTTTTGGGCTCAGTCAAAAATAAAGTTGTTTATATTTATAGACTTGGAGTGAATACAGACAGATATATTTGGTTTCTGGCTGTGGAGTATTTTAGGATACCCTTGTCAGTAAGTGCATGCAACTGTAACACATGTAAAAATGTCATTTCTACTAGCACAAGTTACTCTTTCTCACTCTGCGTGTCTCTCTCAATAGTGATAATGTGATGACAATATTTTTAGATACCAAATGTTTCTAATTGTTATTAATGGCAGCTGACACATACAACAAACTAATGCAAAATTGTGCACTTACAAACTAAAATTAATCAGGAACAAGTCCAACTAAATGATCTTAGACACTGGGCTTTGATTTTATCCCACAATAAACAATAAAATGTGGCTTTTGTTAAAGGGACCCCTCCCATCTTTACTGCACAAATAAAAATCATTTGCTCTGTAGATACAGTAAAATTTCACTAAATTTGTGGCCCTTTTAATGCCAAAAGTTAGCATTTTTTTTATTTCTTCTCCTTTTGTTAGTTGATTTTTTCTATCTATTTTCAATTCCTGCTTCCGTTTTACCACAAAATTAGTCCTGTTATTGTTTTTATGCTGAAGGCACAGCAGAACCTGAGCTATGTACCCCACCCACACCACACCCTCCTCACTCACCACTGACTAACTGCACAATCACACAGGCCTGGTCCCTCTCTGGGGCTGCTGTAGCTCGAGGAAACACAGGGAGTGGAGGCTGTGGTCACACACCACTAGAAAAGACAAGAAAAGACTCTGCATGTGACTTTAATAATCACTGAAGCCACTGGTCAATTATTTGTACCCAGTTCAGCGCATTTATACTGGCACTTAAAACAATGTCTCAATATAGAAAGCAATGACATAATGTTAATGTTACAGTAGTAACAAAATACAATATTTATATTTTTAAGGTGTGTAAGTTAACTGGGTTTAAGACTTTCACTTTTGTTTTCTATGACAATGACAATAAGAAGATCTTGAATCTGTTGTTGTCATTGTATCAGTACAGTGTAGTTATAGAGTGAGAGCATATTTTTTAAATCTAGTATCATACGCTCGATACTCCTAATCTATAAAATATATATATATCAATTAGAATATGATTATTTAATTGTCTGTTATACACTGAATAACATTGCTTAGTATGTGATTATTATGCAAGAAAGAAATATGTTTATTTAGATAAATATATTTTATTTGGCAGATTAAGCACTTTTAATAGACAGATTTACAAAGGTTAAATTCACTTCAAACGGCAGTCTTAACTCCCCTAATTTGCCAAAGTGATGTTCTGATTATAGGTTTTGGTACCTGTCATAAAATCTCTCTCTGTAGATAAACCTTTATTATTAGAGTCAGGCCCAGTGTAAACATTACTTTTAAAGATGTATGCCTGTCTATTCACACAGATAAAATATAAAAACAGGCTCTGAGATTAACAACTAATCCACTACTCTATTTTAAACACCATTTAGGTTTACTTACACGCATGGATTGACTGAATCTTCTCAATTCAAAAGTCTCTCTTTTTCTATCAGAAACGCAAATTTACACCACGGTTGACAGAACATCATTTATTTTTTCTTAATCTTCAAACGTCTCACAGGTGATCCCCTTGAACAAACAAACCTGAAATACATTAAGTTTGTTGAGAGGCACTTGACTACTCCTTTCATCACAACTTGGCCTTTCTTCACTAATTTAAATCTTTGTCACTTGTTTCTTCTCATGAAGCAGGTGGTTGTGACCATCTAAGAAAAAATACAACATACAATAAAAACATTAATAAATTCAGTAGACTCTTGCGTTTGTCTGTTAAAGGTACTATATTACGCAAAATTATAATATTGTTACCTCCTCAAAAACATACCTGGAGTTTTTTTTGTTTCATTCACACATTTGAATAACCCTTTATTATGTCTGTCTACATCATAGACTGTATATACAAATGGACACAGGTCACGCACTAGCTGCCGAGTAGGAAATAGGAAGGTCAAATGTGGGCACTTCTGTCTTTTACTGACGCTGGCTCCCATTCACTTACATTGGAATATTGTGGCCCCTCACTCCGTGACTGCTGCGGAAAGCCTTTTCATTTTGGTTTTTAAATGAGCATATTAACCCGCTATGGGTGACGTCACACTAGTTCACTTCTTTATACAGTCTGTGGTCTACATCTTCAAAGCTCAAAATGCTCTGCTCCACCTTGCGATGTCATGAAGCACTTTACCTTTTGTTTAGTACGGATTGGCAATTCCAGGTCTGAAATGGTCCAGATTATTCAAGTGAAGGTCTATGGAGTTTAAATCTGCCGTGGAGCACATCCAGTATTACCACATGGCATCATAAAATGGAACAGAGTTTTTTCTCTTTATGAGAAGAACTCAGCCTTTATAAGCATGCAGGTTTGTGTCTTAAACATGTGTGAATGAAACAAAACACAACTCCAGGTATGTTTTTAATGAGGAAACAACATTATAAAAATAGTGTGATATGGGCCCTTTATATAAACCATATATAATACACATATGTACCTTGGTGCTAGGTGGTATCTGCCTCTATGGCTGAATCGGCCCCTGGAGTCTCTTCTGTTGGCAAAAGCCCCTCTGTTGTGATATTGTTGCGAATAAAAGTCTGGATGCTGTTGTGAAGTTGAGGGGTAGTGTCCTCTGTTTTGTCTCCCTCTGTTTTCATACAAATGATATCTTCTTCTGGCCTCTCTTCTGCCCCTCCATCCTTCTGTGCTATGATGAATGCCTCTTCCCAAGCCCTCACCACCTGCAATTAAAGGTGCATTATGTAACTTTTTGATTGGGGGTCCATCACCTGCTTGTTTCTATGAATTTGTCATTGCTCTGCCTGGAATGTTCCACAGTATTCCACAGTAATTTACTTAAAATCCACAATTCAGAACAGACATACCACAATCAAAAAGGAAAAAAGGGATACCTATTACCTTGACTGACAGGTCTGACTGAGCAGCATTAAAAGATATAGGTCTAATTCACAAAACAAATTTCACTACAGGAATCATAAAGTGTACCTTAACCTTGGCTCAATGTATCATGTTGTTTAAAGCACAAAGGGCAATTTGATCAGTTTTTCTATCATAACAATGTTAAAAAATGAATAATATGTATTGTATGGTCTTAATACCACCAGGGTTTAACTTTGCTGTTTTTCTTCCCTTAGAAACTGAAAAAAAAAGAAAAAAAAACTGGAGGAGGTATGCAAAGACAGTTGTGATGGATTCCCAGTTAAGGGGTAGTTGTGAGACCAGGCGGGCAAAGAAGATATTTGCTGAGGAGACTAAACATCAGGCCTGATTCCAAACAAAAACCAAACTGGGCCCTCCATGATACCACATAGCGCCACCACTGCTCTCCCGCACTCTCCCTCTCCCTCTGCAGTAATGACGGGTGTCTGTGTCTGAGGTACAGAGAGGGAGACGCGCTCCATCTATTAAACAACAGTCCCACAGGGGTTGACTTGGGCAAAACGCAGACAGCTCGGCGCAAATCTGAGCCTCTCCCCCAAACATGCAATGCAGAATTTGTCAGAAAATACTGGCAGAAGATTTGTAAGAGTGGGTTCCAAAGAAAGTATGGGTTCATATTTCTTATGGTTAAGTCGTGTGACACAAGATTCAGACACTCTAAAGGAGCAAAAACAAGGTTACACAGAGGACAATATTGTGTGTTACTGAAATGACTATGGTTTGATACCTTAGAATTACAGAATTATACATCAGTATTTCCCATTAATAGTGGCCCCCATACTCAAACATTCGCTTGCATCAACCATAAATTGCCATCACAAAATCACACTTTGTTGCCCAATGTACTATCATAAACATAGAAATAGATTAAATATACACAGTAAAATACATTAATTATGAGTTTCAAATTTAAAACATTTATGATACTGTAGTCTGCCCGGAGTCTATGGGAAACACTGATACATATTCATGTGTAGGTGTGGGAGTTGAGTAAGTTCGACATAAATCAAGACATGTACAGTGATGTAGTAACAGAAGGAAACAGGAGATAAAAGGATGAGGAGTAACAAAGGCAGCAGAGCAAGAGTCAGACACAGTGGTCTGTAATCAGCCTTGTTGTGTGTCTTAAAATAGAGCACTCCCACCCTATAAACGGAACCTACTATTACTAGCACACTGACAAAGCAAGTCTTCTCTCCAAGTGTGTGTTATACTCAAGGCCACAGCACACATGGAGCTAGTTACAGCAAGGGCCTCTGGGAAATGTGGTTCTATGAGGGGAACCAAGAACTACAAGCAATGATCTGCAGTCAAGTTTGAGGAGTTTGCATTTCTTTTCAGATTAGGCACATTTTCATCAAGTTGTCATCTATTGTATGTGGTCGCCATTTGTAGGAATACATGTGGCTATGGTCTCTGTTGAATCACTTGGTAAAAGAGTAAATTGTAACACTATACAATACATTTATTATGCAAGAGGTGTTAAAATGGAAAGTTTTAAAGGCTGCAACAATTATTCAGAATAATCCGTGACCAACTCTTATCTGAGGTATAAATATAGTATAACACTTCCCATTTAATAGGAACAGGTTTACTGCAAGAACAAATCTAGTAACCTAATTTGAACATATTCTCTATCACGTGATCATCATTTGACATATTGTAGCTTTAACTAGAAATTGGCCTTTTTTCAACATCTCCAAGGCACAAGAAAAATCACTGTTTGAGTAATCGCCTAATAAAAAAACAATCACTGCTGATTAGACAACTGCTAAAATAAGCTAAAATAGTTGCAATCCTAACAGATTCATATAAAATAGTTTTTAGATGTTAAAGTAAGTAAGTAGTTAAAACACCAGCACCACACCATATTTTATCTTCAGAAGTCTCCTCTCACCTGTGTGCCCCCAGTGTCGGGGCTCCTCTCCGGTCTTAAACTGTGGAGTGCAACGTCTGGGTTTGGACTGCAGCTCTCTGCCTTTCTTCAGACAAACTTCTTTGACTTTACTCCTCAAGGTATGAAAGACACTCAAACAGGAGGCCTACAGCAATGAATAAGAAGAAATTACAGTCTGAGTGAATATATTGCCTGTACTGTCTTAATTTAAATCTGTGTCTATTTTTTGGCTATTTTTAATTTTAGTTCAAAATCAGTACAGTAAAATAAAAGCAGTAACTTCCTTATATTGTCTCAACATAAATGGGAATATAGGACCATGGTCTATGTAGTGCCCCTATTTTTAGCAACCCATTATAACCAAAAATAATGTATTTGAAACCCATGTTCTGCCATTCAGGAGATTATAAATATCCATGACTCTTGGTAGATGTTATTGGTTTTCAAAGTAATTTTAATCCATCAGGTCAACTCACATCATTATCCAGCAGCACTAGGTCCTCCACTCTGCTATGAGCTGAGAGATACTTTGACTGGAAAAGTCGTCCATCAAAGCTGTTCCAGGGCATCAGGGCTTCAGAGGTTAGTGGACAGCCACTGGCACAGTTTGCCCCCAGGAGATAACTGAGGCCACGCACATACAAGCATCCTAGCTGTACGGCCCGACTGCACAAGAAGGGTAACTGCAAACCCAAAATTTACTCAATGATAGACAATCATTTTAATTTTGTAGTAAAAGTTCCAACCATTTCCACCTGTATTTTTCTACATTTGACAATTAGTTCAACAAACCTGTAAATTTTAAAACATTATGAGTAACACACAACACAACAACAAGACTCTTAAATCTGCACTAAGGCACAGGGTTTGCCACTCGCTCGAATTTATGAAAATGTTGCTGAGTTGTCAGAATGTTCTGGAATATGGAATTATCTGTGGAGATGACATAAAAATGCATGTTTTATTTAGCATGAAAATCTCTGAAATTGAAAAAAATTAGATTAAAAAATAATAAAGACAGGCAGGTTGTGGACCCTCCAAAGGAAGGATAAAATCAATAATAATTTAATTATGCAGCTTTATATTTTCTAAAACCTTGGCCATTTTTCATGGCAATTGTGAGTAAACTGAAAGTACAATGAGGCAGTGCAGCAGCAGCCTGTGAGCTGAGAGTAATGAAAGCAGAGGCCAACAGCAGGCAGATGTGTGGCTCTCTCACCTGTCTCTGCAGATAGCACTGATAACACACACACACACACACACACACACACACACTTAGCCCTGCCTGCCACCTGCCTCCAGTCAAACACAGCTTCACCTTCGGAAAACAAAGAGCCAGCAGGCACACACACAAAAGACCTGCAGCCACGCACAAACACAAAACAAAGAAAAGAGACAGGAAAAAGAGAGAAAGAGTAACATGAAAAAGGTGAAAGTGTTGTGTGTGTGTTTGTGTGTAATAGACAGAGAGAGAGAGAGAGAGAGAGAGAGAGAGAGAGAGAGAGAGAGAGAGAGAGAGAGAAGAGGGGGGCTGGGGATTGGATATTTGCGTGTGTCCAGTGTTGTGGATGGAGCCTGGTGTAAATAGCTCCATGTGGTGAGCGACTGTCGCCACTCTCCCTGTTTCACTAAATACACTGCACACATGCCAGTCTGTGGAGTGTTGCAATCAGGTTACAAATACAATTCTTGTGCTTTAGTAAAAATGGAATTCATTCTAGATGGTATAAGTTTAGGAGAGGTAAGGTAGGAAATGTGTTGTAAAAATGTTTCCGCACAAGCTTTTCTGTGCAGCAATTAGCTTTTATTTATTAGCAATTAGTTTATTTAAATGAATGCCCAGTACTAATTATTGTGAAGAAAAAAAGTACAAAAATGTAAATTACTGGACATAACTATAGTAATAAAGCAGTAGAGGTAAATGTTGCTACAACAAAGGAGCAAAGAGTCCATTTCCCAAAAGAGCCCAGAGGAGAATGAATGTACTTAACATTATCTAAGACAATTGTTGTAATAAAACAATGGCTAACCTTAATCTGCTGGATGTCTTGAGGAGATTTGTGTGCCAAACATACAGCCTGGCTCAGGTATGCATGCACGTCCTCTTGAGACAGTGTCTGTACCTGATTGCAGTTGAGAACAGTATATAGTTAGCCATGTCAACAATGCATCTATGTGTATTCTATGTGGGACAGTCTGTTTTGTCTGCTTTCTGGACAACAAGAGAAAGAGACAATACAGAAAGCAAAAACAAGACTGCCCAGTTGTATGTTCAAAACAAACAAGCCCCATGTGATTTAAATAGATGAGTGGTTGAGGGCACTGAATGCTGCAGTGATCAGACAATAACAGCTACTGTCTTCAGCCTAAGTTGATCCGACTGAGTCCAGTCTCATTTGAATAACTGTCTCCAAGAGTCAATCACTGCATTTGAAAGTCAGTCTGCCACTCTCCCGCTGATTGCTTTTTGGACTAAAACAGCAAAATCAGCATATTAGCGAGCATCAGAGCAAAGCTGTTATTCCCTTTGTTTTTTTCTACCTTTTTAAAAATTCAAACAGGACAACTTAATGCCAACACAAGAAAAATAGGGCCATTATTGTGAAAAGTGTTACCAATGAGACATTACAGTGATTGTAATGATTGTTTCTCATTTTTTTTGCATGCAATACAATCAGAAATAACATTTGTTTAATACCATACCACTCTAATTGTGTAAAAACAGCCACATGCAATAATTAACCTAAATTTGCAAGCCAAACAAAAACCTCACAAAAATGTGCGCTTGAATGTATAATGAAGGAGGACCACTTGCAGAAGTAAAGGCTTAAATATGCAAGGCTTTGTCCATCAGAGTACTTTGTTTACATTGGAGATCACAAAGAACAGTGTCTGTGGTTAAACTAGAAGCTCAGCAGGAGATAATGGCCTTCATAATGCCTTTACAAACAACAGATAATGTTTGACTCCACATTAGATGTTGACAAAATAAGAGATATTGTTGTGAGGGTGTTGCACAAATTTGCTATCAAAATTTTCACTGTAGCCTTCAATGTCACCAAACACATCAACCCTTATTCTTTCATGTTGACATAAAGAAAAACATTCCTATTTTCCATAATAAATCAAAGTTATTCATTCAAATCAGAACCAACAACAAGAAACTGTATCAGAAGCAATTAAAAACCTACTTACTACAGCTACCTTTTTGTGGTTTTGTACATAAAATGACATCTTGGAAAGATTGTTAGTCAAGTGAATTAAGTAAGGCTATTTATGTTACCTGCAGAGTTATGTAGGTCACTAAACACAATGTGATGAAAAGGTGCTCCTCTATAATTCCATACAGCTCTGCAAAGTCTTGGCAGTCAAGAATTGCCAGAAAGCATGCCCGGCGCAGTGATGAAATTTCCTCCTCTTCGCCGAACCATAATGTGTCTAACCCAGGATGATCACCTGCACAGATCAAATGTGGAAATTTAGACTGGAGATAAAAAAAATACTTTATCCTCTCTGTTCATTTCATTGCTTCTTACATTGCATGTTAAGTGGGGTAGGGGGGACCATTTCAGGCTCTTTCAGGGGATTTCCAGGGTAAACAAACCATTCCTTAATCGGTGGTGGGTTTATATCAACATCTATGAACACATAAATCATACACCATGTTTGAAAGAGGCTAAAAATACAAACTCAATATAACATAACACTAAAAATACAAACAAAACAAAACAAAAATCAATACAAAAAAATCATGTGGTCTAATACTAATTCTGTAAGAACAAGACCATTCTAAAATAGTTACAACCCTATGCAGAATTATGAACAATGTGAACATTTGGTTTGATATTACCGCTGAATGTGTGCAGTAGTAGAACACCATACATTCTCTGTCTACAAGGTTTATAGACAAGAGCTTGTGGCAAGAGTTCTGTGTCCTCTTCGTCCTCCAGACTGTTGCTACATTCAACCATTCCCTCAGACACAACAGAGTAAACCATGAATCCCTCTGCTGCTACATGTTTCTCTCGACATGCCTAGTAGAAACCACACAAAAACACATATTTAGAAAATGTGACAAAAGCACTCACATAAATAAAAAATGTCCATGCGCAAATTGTACCTGTAATATGGTTGGACTGACGTATTTCTGGTAAACAGCTACAGGGTGGTCTGTAGTTTCACTAGACAGATGTTTCGTTTGATCAGACAGTAAGTATGACTGGACACCTTTCTCCAGTAGTTCTTTGTCTACAGGTGATAGTTTTAAAGACGGTGTAACAAGTACATCAGGACTTTCTGAACAGGAGCGCACAAACTGAGACACAGCAAGTATAATATCTTGCTGCTGGGAACCAGGATAGGATGTAGAATTCAATTTGCTGTAGGAAGACAATATATAAATGATTAATAATCAGCGTGAAAATTATCAAATAAAATAATAATATGTAAGAAAAACAAATCTATAAAATTTTACCTGTATTTTGCCAAGGCATCTTTCCGTATAGGTTGCATTTGTTCTTCAGACACAACATCATTACCGAGGAGACAAGCTAATAGCGGTAAGTGAAAAACTGCCAATCCAAGGGTGTGGCAGAGTCTCTGACGGTCATAAAGGACTGTAGTTAAAGAGTTTATCCTTAACTTTGCAGAAGACAGATAAGGCGCACTGAAAGCAAAGCAATTTTAATGATTAATAATTAATATAAAAATCCAGATATAAATGAAAAATAACATTATCATCAACAAACCTGTCAAATATAATGTAATCTGTGTCCTGTCCCAATATGCCCATGCAGTTGTGCTCACGTGCATAGCTGGCAATCTCATAGTCAGCTTCTCTTACTGAGCAAAACACTTCCTGCCCCAATGATCTGATCAATAGAAAAAGAGGTCAATAGATCTTCAAACTTACTAAAAGGACTTAATGAATTACATCACGCACTTAAGAGCAAATCTGGTAAATGTTGCCAGACCAGAAGGCAAAACACACATCTCTCCACGAGGTTGCTCTCCATAGGCTTTAATATGGGCAAATATTTTACAAATATCACCATTTACTCGATGACGCCTCTTTATCTGTGAAGAATAAAACACCAAAATGTCAAAGAAATAACAAATGCTCAGAGTCTATACATAAATTATTTACCCATGTTGGTCTCTTTTGCTCCTCCACAACTCCATCAAAGAAAAAGACTAATCGGATGCCTGCAGAGGTAAAGGCTTCCACCCAGCTTTTCAGGATGTCCATATATTCTTTCCACTGCCCCCCAGACACCCAGTCTTTACCGGAGTACCAGGGACGCAGACAGGCCATCCCGTCTACGACCAATGTGGGAACTGGATGTGGTACAGTTCACCATAAAAGGTTAAGCACATACTACAGTTAAATATAACAACAAAATAATGTAATTTATCTGTCTTCATCATTGAAAACATACATAGCAATGTTCATCCAATACATGTTATGAATCTGGATCACAAGACAAAACACAAGCCCAATAAACTACCCCATTTTTTACTATACATCGGGTCGGGTTGTGTGCAGATGTACCTCCCTGTGGAACAGTGTGTTGTTTTGCCATCTCCCTCAAGTGTACAGTCACACACGCTTCAGGACAGCAGCGCTCCATAAAGCTCTGGAGGCCCTTTACACCCATTTCTGTAAAAAATAAATTAATAGCGGCCAGTATAAACCACAGCGAAACGTTTATGTTAGGTCTTGTTTATACTGTGGTAGTCCCATTGTCTCTCTGCTAAATGCTAGCTTAGCATCTAAACGCTCTTTTGTCACGCTTATTTATGTCCATACTTGCTTGCAGCTTTTAGACTGAATGATGAGCCTTGTTTATTTTGATGCAACATTGTTTAGACAGCAACTTACTTGAATTCCTTCTGCAAAAAACCCCACATAAACTAGTGTTGTGTTTACTCGGCCGAAATGCAAATTACTTCCTGTGGTTTGCGCGTGGCGTCATCGCGTAGCAAAACAAAGCACACGTGCTTGACGCATGGAGCACACAGAGCAGAGGACCCTGCATCTTTTTGCAGTACGTAAAACAAGCGCAGCCTTCAACTTGACAACCAAATTTTCAAATAAAATTGTCTAAATTGTATCCAGGCATTGCCTATCAGCTGCAACATAATTTAATGTGTTATTTCAACATATCTTAAGTATTATTAATGCTCTGGTAACCTGCTGTTTTATTTGAAAACTAAACAACAAAATTGGCATGAATAAGAATAGCCCATTGAGGTTTTGTAGCATCAGCGGTTCCAAACTCTTCAGGCTAGGATCAGAGGAGCTAATTGCTCTTCATGCTCTCCAAAAGAATGGGGTCTCTTTTCTGAAGTCACAAGCTATTAGGTCTACCTTCAAAACAAAGCACCCCCAGCCCTTCCACGCCATTGTTTAAGCAGAGCTGAAATAAAGAAAGAGACATATGCTGGCTGTCAGTCCAGCTGTCAGCATCAGTTGTTCCCTAGCCAGATGCTCTATGGACAGGGGAAACAATCCCCTTCCAAACTTCACGAATAGAGGAGATGCGCTGTATCTGTCACTTGTCTTTGGTAATCTTTCAGTTAGAACTTGGCCTTTTAAATTTGAATCATTATGTGCTAGACCAAACCTAGATCACACATAACAAATTAAGTACAAGTTGCACAAATGACAATATTTTTATTAAAATACGCAAAATTTCTTTAACTGTGCATATTTAGATAAGTAGTGATTATGACTGCAGTGGTCCTGCTATAGATACAGACTACTTTCAGTTGCTCTCACTGGTCCTTGAACAGCTGTAGATGTAATTTTAGTTTAGTTAAGAGCATAAGAATTATCAGAACAAAAACACAAAATATTAACACATGGAGGATTTGTCTTCTGTCACCAAAATGCTTACAACATAATTATAAAATTTCCATGTCAATGTTTTTTATTTTAAGAGCAAAAAAAAAAGTGTTTGTTTTTTTTAATCTGCAGGTGTAAGAAAGAGTAAAGTTTGACTCAGGAGAAACTGTGGCAGATGTTCCAGGAGCACACGATGGCCCTACCCCCAACACCTCCCATTTGTACTGGATCTGCAGTTAACCCCCGGAAAGAATTGACCACACAAGCACGCACATACACATACAAAGCACACCGCTGCCCACATCTCCACGGGCTCAACAGTTGTCCAACTGAATGAACACTCACACAGTGCAGACCAAATCCCCTTGGTCTGTCTGATAGCAGCACACAGGGGTCAGGCCTGGTGTCAGCGTCCAGAGTGCAGTGTCTCTGGGCAGCTGGCCAGGATAATCCTTCTGCTGGAGGCCACTGCTTCTCAAACTAAAGGCCATGGACCCCCAGGGGGCACAGGGCAGCTATGTGAGGGAACAGCACAATCTCACGTTTGTTGAAAAATATATTCTTTGGAAGATTAGATTTTGTAAATTTGGTCTGTTTACATGTTATGTTGCATGCATTGCCAGCCTTGCATTATTGATTTCTGTTGGAGACAACCAGGTGCCAACAAAGGTGTGAAGCTTCATTACCAAAACCCATGTCTGCCTCACACACTACTATTACAGGTGCCAAATCCTGACAGGGAGCAGGTTGCCTTCCCTAGGCCATCGACACTCTAATGAGGAGTTTATGTCTGTTTTACTACAAGACTGTAACTAACATTGGTATCAGATATTTGTTTTCTGTTTAATGTTCCAAGAAATGTTGAAGTTTAGTATTATGTCAATAAATAAAATGGAAAAATGTTCAAATTGAATGTCACAGATTCCTGCCTCTATCCTTGTCTTTGTGCACATTGATTCCTAACTGACCAGAAGGCTGGCCACTCTTTAAGGCAGTGTGTGGCTGATGTGATGCTGACGATGTGGAGGTTCCCACGACGGCCATCCATCCATTTCTGGGCACACACACGCACATACAAATACACACAATGGCCATATGGCCATCTCTTAACGTCGCATGCCTCTACTGTGCGCATATACCCTGGGGACCAACCAGCACTCACATACCCCTACAACACCAAGGAATTTGGGGGAGCTGTTGATGAATAAGAGTTTCAAATTCGCTGTACTAAAGAAGGTTCGCGAGATCGATCCGCGCAAGTATAGGTAGGGGAATTTCTTGTTGGGAGTTGGATGCTGTTGTCGTGTTTGGTGAGCAGATGGCCAAGGCCTGAAAAGGGGTGTGTCTTGTCCTCGCGACCCTTCACAAATCACAAGGCCTTCCCCCGAGGGGCTCGTGAGTCGCCGTTCAATAAGAATCAATAGGAATTACTTCACGAGAGAAAGGGATGAATGGGCGGCGGGGCGCAAGACCTCTTCCTTTGTTGTGGCCTGCGCGTCACGGAGCTCATAAGCGCGCGCACGCTCAGGGCAGCACACGCGCGCGCGCACAGACACTGGCAGAGGTAGAGCACTTCAGTTAAACAATCGACCTCCAGTTAAACAATTTTAACCTCACACACGCACACGCGCACCGAAGTGCCACTGGGGAGGGGTTTCTGGGTTGAGCCAATTCCTTGAGGTGCAATTGGTGCATCTTCTGGCATCAATTATGTTTGGGATAAAACGTGGTCGTGATGTTACTGAAGAGGAGGAACCACTTTCCATCGCACCATGCTTTTCAGTCACGCTTTGCTGGCGTAATCGAGAAATGTGTGCCATGTCATGGTGATGAATGACTGATAGTATGTGCTTAATACTGGAGCGCGTGAAAGAGCACCAGGGCCGCTGAAAGTCGAGATGAGTGTAAATAAATGGTTTCAAGAGCGAGATTTTACGCCACGCCACCTATAAGCATTGTAGTCTCTTGATAACAGAGCTACAATCAACAGGGTCAAATGAAACTGAAAGCTTGGACCAGCGTCATATAGCTAAACATACATAGCGGTATGTGGGAAGGCCTTGGCAGGCAGGGATAATAGTGTTAAAGTCTAAGGTTAAAGGCCCTTCAATCAGCTTTAAGGGGTGTAAAGAGCACATCATAGACACGCAACCACATTAGACACAGTCCTATTTATCTCACCGCTGACCCACAGGGAATTGAATTCAGCAGGTCGTTAAACTTTTGATAGGGCACCAACTTCCACCTACAAAGTGGCCCGTTGATATACGAATATTTGGATCAACAAATTAAAGAGCCTGGATTGGGAAACAATTGCTATATTGTATCCAGATATCAAATATCCAGAGAACAGATATCCAGTACAAACGTAACGTCTCATTTTGCTTGTCTGTTGATAAGATACAAGGAAGGTAGTACAGCGCTAGGCTGTAAAGCCATTAATGATGTCAGTAATCGTAAATGTCCCACGGGGAAAATCAAAATACGCCCTAACAAGCTTCATTTCAAGGACGGGTCTGAAGTCAGAGGATATCAAGTGTTAAAAATAGGGGCTCAAGGTTTGTGGCGCAGGACAGGCATCGTATCAGGACACAACTACCAATCCAGACATGGTAAGGTTTTTATGATTATTTTACTCTCAAGTATTCGAGATGGTTACATCATCAAAATGAAGAGCTTTGTTATAAAGATGGATTTGCTTGCTCATAGTTACACAGAGCATAGGCTCACATATGTCAACAAGTGTGCATTCCTTCTGCACATTTCTCTGAAGCCACACATAGGAAGATTAATAAAGGGGCCTGTGGACAAATCAGTTACTATAGCCACGCATCTCATAAAGCTTTGAAAAGGCTACACAGGACATAGAGCTATCTTATCATGAAGATAAAGATTACCCTAATACAAGTGACCACATCCCTCAGAGTCTCTGGTGCTGTATTCTTGTGGGAGAGCAGGTGCTGCCGGACCAATTACCATACAGCTGAAAGCACAAAGAAAAAAAAACTACTGCCTGCATGCCCCCCTCCCCTCCTTCTTCACACAAAGTCCCTTAATGACAGCCACGCGAGCGACACACACCGAGTCTTTTTTACTGCCCATACCAAAGGCAAATACGGGAAATACGCAAGCATGCAAGGAAACCGTTTATAGATGCCCAGTTAGGTCGCCACTGTGCGCATTCCTGGGCGTCGTTCCATTTCTCATGTCAGGCAAGACAATCACTTACAGTCACATTTAGGTCTGTATTTTGCACCAAATTAACTACATTGCTGTTTACAGAAAGTTTTTTGGTCTTCGTGAAAAGGCACTATATGTTGCATGAAGTGATGACTGTTGCGTTGAAACATTTGCTATTATGACTGGTTCGCAGGCAGTCTGTAGTTTTAATGTATAAATAAAGATAAGGCAATAAGAACAGATCGACTCATTTGGAGCGGGGGTGTGAATATCCACGGCAGGGGAACACCATAGGAATGCGGTGAAGCAGATGGTGGTTGTATCGCAGTTGGGACGGCTGGTCAGCAGTCTACGGGCACCAATTTACCCTCGTAAATAAGAGACCACTGTAATATGATGCTTGGTGGAATAGTGTATTTCAGTAACAAATCTAATGTTACCTAAATATTAAGTCTGCTGTTAGTAGCGCCCGAAAGAGGTATCAGGGAAACAAGTGTTGCACATTTAACAGCTCACGAGCCATTTGGTCTGTCCCTTTGAGAGAAGTGCAGAGAGGGGGCAGAAAAGTTGAGCGCACCCCCTCCTCCTCATTGTCATGCCCCGGGGCGGACTTGTGGTGGTGTGGGAGGGAAGAAGAGGAGCAGAGGGGCTCATTTGCATCTTATTACCCTCTGCCTGCTGTCCTGGTATAAAACCTTGAACGGACTGTCGGCCCTTCAGACACACACTAAACCAAGAGACCAAGAGACATACGCAGAGAAACGAAGACTTGTTGTATGTGTTTGTCATTGCCAACCAAGTGGAAAATAAACGTAAACATCACAACACAACAACGGCTGCCAATTTGGATTTACTTATTTCTACCAGGAATTCTTTTTGAGGATCCTTCATTTTTGAGGATTACATTTTACTACCAGAAGCCTGCCGCATGGGAAAGTAGAGGGGAAGAAGTTTATATTTGGTCACCATTCCATCTTCTGACTGGCTCACGACGGAAATCAAAGTTTTTCTCCATGCGCGTTTGACTCGGGCTAAACGGACTGACCTGTGGAGCGCTCCCCGCTTGTTCAAGAGCTGTCAACACAATGGGACGCCCGTATCTGTTCCTAGTTGTCACGCTCTCCCTTCTCACCTGCCAGGTAAGCCCAAGAATACCATCAATGTACCTTCAGTGGATTGCACACAAACAATTATAACTTTTACGCACGTGATTGCGCACCACAAAGCAAAGTTATTTTCCTCATACAATTACATCTGTTCTGACATAATTTACCTGAATCGTATATTGATTGTTCTTACAGGTTCTGTGCTCAGGGGTTTTTGAGCTGAAACTGCAGGAGTTTCTTAACAAGAAGGGGATACAGGGAAACGCCAACTGCTGTCATGGTGGCGCTCAAACTCAAAACCATCAACAGTGTGAATGCAAGACTTTCTTTAGGATTTGTCTAAAGCATTACCAGGCCAACGTTTCTCCTGAACCCCCGTGCACATACGGCGGTGCTGTCACTCCAGTGCTGGGCTCCAACTCCTTCCAGGTTCCGGAGACCAACGCGGACACATTCACGAACCCAATTCGCTTCAATTTCGGATTCACATGGCCGGTAAGTTCTCTGGATGTATATGTTTAAATGTACAGTGTTTACTTAGTTTTAATGCAATGGCACTAAGTATACAAGAAAGGATATTAAGGACGCACTGTTGTGACTTTCTTTAGGGAAAGGGTTTTTTCGCAAAGTGAAAGATGCAACAGATGCGTAAAACCCAACACTTATGAAGGTCTTTGTCAGCAGCGTGTGAGAGGGGCTATTGTAGTAGGCATAAGTCTGTGCTTTTGGTAGCATAAAATGGGGAGGGCAGGGGGCATTGAGGGAGTAAGATGGGTGGGGGTGCTTTCAGAAAATGCATCTTCTTCGACCAGGCGTGGTGGGAAATTTAACATCCTCAGAGTTGGCACATCATTGGCAGCACAGCGTGAAATTCCGCCTTGTTTGGTTTTACGGCAGTGTCAGAGTGTGATACTAGCAGGGGTGTGAAAAGGGAGCAGGTAGTAGCTCTTATAAGGCCCCTAATCAACATGGGAATTAGGCTGTGAACTTTATTGGGAGGCCTCTAATGGTTCAGTACTACAGGCAGAGCAGCTGTTGACTCTCTCTGTCTCTCCTCAGGGGACGTTTTCACTGATCATCGAGGCTTTGCACACGGACTCTCTGGACGACCTAACAACAGGTGGGTGACTGTCCAACACTGAAAGCAGCGCTGTTACCTTATGACCACTAAAAGTGGGGCTGGAAAAAGCATCTTTTGACATTGTGCAATGTGTTTCTGTCATAACATTGAATTCAAAGTCACATATACTAACAATTATCTGCAACACACATGGACATAACAAAGATTTTATTGGCTGGTTAAGACTGACCCCAGTCACATATATTTTGTTATCTTTTTATGGGACTAATAATAAAACACAGGCGGCCACCTTCGCAGCACACTTTATATCAGAAACAAAAATTATATCAAAGTGTATATTTCCAGTATTGTATTAATCAGCCTCTTAGTTTGATGCATAATAATTAAC